ACCAAGAGACACAACCTGAAGTGTAGGAAGGAGTTGGAAGCACCACAGACGGCCTACAAACTTGCAAGTTGTTTTCTAGGCACTCTTCTTTCTTCATGTCTGATGTGTTGCTGTGTAATTTGATATCGGGGATAATAAATAACGTTCCCCTCCAGAACCTGGTTTCGTTCATTTTTAATGTATGGCACAAAACTTCTGTTTTCTTTCCAAGTGTTGGAAAACTGGAAGGTTGATGAATGAAGTGTGGTTAGAAGGTGCTTTATGGCTGACTGTTGTGGTTGCTATGCTTATTTGCTCAAAGTGCTACTTTAGCAGGAGTAGATCACTGGTGCACTTGTAAAGTGAGCAGTTATGAATACATGCTATATGTACAAATTTATATTTAACACTACGTATACGTAATGTTGGGCTCCTTCAGCCTGGAGATCTCACAGTAGAACTTAAAATAGGGAAATACTCTTCCCACTATTCATAGGGTTTCTTCCCCGCTCTTGTAAACTTCATGTTTTAAGAAAATTCCTTGAAGCAATTTATTTTTTGTGCAACTGAGCACTGAGTGGAGCTGGGCAGCAGCTTGGTTTTTTTAACTTCTCAATTTTATTTTAAATTCCCTTCGGAAAGAAGCTTGAAATAGTTCACACCCAGGCAAGTCAGAACAGAGCATTTTTTGAACTGGGAAATGAATATGTCATCCGTTGGTACCGAGAAAACAAAGGGTCAGGCAAAACCTCGCCCACGAGCTTATTTTTATGGAGGTTGCCCATCAACTTGATGTCTATGTGACTCCTTCTAGAGAAAAAGGCAATTCATACCAGGAATCAGACCCAAAGGGAACATGACATTTTCTTTGAAGGATCAGCCTTCACTGAAATTGAAATCATGACACATAATTCTGGTTTTCTTTCCCACCTTGTGCTTCCTGTACCAACTGTTGGGTTTCACCATTTGCTGTCCCCAACTCTTCTAGAAGGAAGATCCATAGAAAGAGCAGCAGGGAGATCCCATCTGCATCCAGCCTGGGACCCCAGACAAGAACAACATGAAGCTGTGAGAATAGGTCCAGAAAAGGCCAGGGAGATGATCAGAGGGCTGGAGCACTTCTACTGGGAACACAGGCTGAGGGAGTAGGGCTTGTTCAGCCTGAGGAAGAGAAAGCTCTCAGGAGACCTCATTGAGGCCTTCCAGTACTTAAAAAAGGTTTATAAGCGACAGGGAGACCAACTTTTTACACTGGCAGATAGTGATAGGACAGGGAGGAATGTCTTCAAACAGAAAGAGGGGAGATTCAGGTTAGATGTTAGGAAGAAGCTCATTACTCAGAGGGCGGTGAGGCCCTGGCACAGCTGCCCATAGAGCTGTGGGTGCCCCATCCCTGCAGGCGCTCAGGGCTGGGTTGGATGGGGCCCTGGGCAGCTGAGCTGGTGGGGGCAGCCAGCCCAGGGCAGGGGTTGGGGATGGTGAGCTTTGAGGACCCCTCCAACCCAAACCATTCTGCAGTTCTGTGATCTCACTGGTGCCTAAGAAGTGATTTGAGTTGTCCATGTGTTAAACGTGCCACTCCTTTCACTAGGGCAGTGGGTCAGCCTTGCATTGGAATATATTTTTATGGTACAATTCTACAGCAAGTGGTAGAATGCACAAAAGGGCTTCATAACAATAGGAATTGTGTAATTAATGAGAAAACAGTGAAACATGCCAGATAAACAAGAGAAAATTAACTGCTCAGCAAGTGGCTCCAAGAAAATAGCAGGCAAGTAGGACAAAAGGAGTAGAACAGAGGATTTGGTGTAATTATCCCCATAATTAGTTTCATACAAGTGCTTTTACAATATCTTCCATCTCCAGACTCCTGGATGTTGCCTCTTGCTGCCATAAAATTGGAAAAAAAGGTCTCAACTGCCTTTTCTTGTGGATCTATTTAATCTAACAAAATCTCCTGAAATGTGTACTTGGATCTGACACTAAAAAGGCTGCAGAAAAGGATTGTGTTGAAACAAAAGCTTTTTTTTTTTTTTCCTTTTCAAAACATGGGCATTAAGGATTGCATTAAAAAAAAAAAAAATAAAGAGAGAAAAATACAGATGTGCACCAGGGTGGTTTTTATGTACATGCCAAGTTTGGGTTGACATGAATTAAACCAACTGCAGAGTGAGTAGCTGGATTTTTGTGAGCATAAAACACAGCACCCAAGCCAACCTGTTAGCCTCACCCCTGTGCCAGAGAAGATGCTGGAGCAGATTGTCCTGCAAGTCATGCACATAGAAGAGAGGGAGGGGATATGGGACAACCAGCACGGCTTCACCAAGGGCAGGTCCTTATTCCTTTTTATGGCAGTGTAACTGTGTCAGTGAACAAAGGAAAAGATGTCATCTATCTGGACTTCAGCAACACTTTTGACAGTGTCCCCCACCACATCCCTCTCTGCAGATTGGAATGGTATGAATTTGGCAGGTGGACTGTTTGATGTATGACTGACTGGTTGTGAGATCATACGCAGAGAATGGTGGTCAATGGCTCAGTGTCTGCATGATGACTGGTGTCCCCCAAGGGTCAGTGCTGGGACCGGTGCTTTTTACATCTTCATCAATGACACAGCGGGGGTCAGCAAGTTTGTCAATGACACCAAGCTGTGGGGTAATGCCAGCACGTCTGAGGGACAGGATGACATCCAGAGACACCTGGGCAGGTTCAAGCAGTGGGCCCAGGTGAACCTCAGCAGATTCAACAAAGCCAAATGCGAGGTCTTGCATCTGGGTTATTGCAACCCCAGCTATCAGCACAAGCTGGGATATGTAAGATATGTAAGGACAGCCCTGCCAAAACACCTGGAGGTGCTGGTGGATGGCAGCTGGCCACGAGCCAGCAATGTGCCCTCACAGCCCAGAAAGCCAACCGTACCCTGGGCTGCATCAAAAGCAGCACGGCCAGCAGGGCAAGGGAGGTGATCCTGCGCCTCTGCTCTGCTCTGTGAGACCTCATCTGAAAACACTCAAGGTCAGGCTGGATGGGGCTCTGAGCACCTGGTGTAGCTTTAGTTGTCCCTTTGCATTGCAGGGGTTGGACTAGATGACCCTTACAGGTCCCTTCCAACTCAAAAGATTCTACGATTCTATGAAACCTGATAATGGAGAAGTTAATTTAAAATTTATTTTGAACCTATTTTCTCCCTTTACAGGAATGACTTTTTCCATCAGAGGATTAGAAAATGCAACTAAGACTTTAAATTCCATTAAAAAAAAAAAATCGGACGGGATTAAGCTGAATCAGCGAAACCCTTTCCAAACTTGCCATTTACAAAGCTTTTCCTTTCCCCCTGACGGACGTATTGGCAACAATCCCATCGTATTTTCCCCTTGAAATGACGCCGTTCCGGGCTGAAGGCAGCCGAACGAACCGCCGTTTCTCGCACCCTCCAGGGAGCGCAGGAGCTCCGCAGCCGCAGGACGGGACGGCCGCCCCCTGTCGGCAGCGCGTCCCGCAGCGCTTCCCGCAGCCCCCGCCAGGGGCCACTGCGCCCGCGGGGACGGGCGCGGCGAGCGGCGGCGGAAAGAGTTTAGCGGCAATGCACGGAATCATCGCCGCCGCGATATTGAAACGCGGGCTTTGGCTCCGCTACTCCCCACAGACTGGAACTTTGCAGAGAGCGTGCAAAGACTTGCAGCTGCCCCAGAGTTATTTCAAACTCAGCCGTCCTTCTGCTTACCTGCTGTTGTGCGCGGTCCGCAGCGGCCGGCGAAGTGCAGGGCAACGCCAGAGCGGCAAGTCGCGCACAGCCTAACAGGATTGCAATTTTCCGTACTCCGAAAAGTGACATTCCTTTTTCCCACTTTTTTTTTTTTTTTCAAGAGTCCATTCACTTTAATTTTTTTACAGACAGCAAACCCGAGACGACAGGTGACTGCGCACGGGTGAAGCCGCAGAGCTCCGGCGAAGCCGCGTTCCCACTTCCCGAAGCGGCTCCCCCAGACGGAACCCGCCGCCTTCCCCGCGCGTCCGAGCGGCGGACGGACGGGCGGACGGAGGGAGGCAGAGAGCCCCGCGGGGCGCGCCCGGCCCGGCCCCCACAGCCGCCACCGCCCGGGAGGGGCCGGGCGGGGCCGCCGGGAAACCCCGCCCCGGGCAGCGCCCGCCGCGCAGCGCGCAGCCCGCAACGAGCGGAGCGGGGCGGCACAACGGGACGGGACGGGGCGCGGACCGGGCGGCTGCACCGTGCAGGGAGCACTCCGCCCGTGTGCCGGCCCCGCCGGAGGGGACGCTGAGGAGGGGCTTCGGGATTTTTCTTTTTCTTTTTCTTTTTCTTTTTTTTCTTTTTTTCTTTTTCTTTTTTTCCTTTTTTTTCTGTGAGAAGTAGAGGAGCAGCAGGTTTATGCTAATCGCCCTCCCGGGAGCAGCGGTAGGAGGAGGAGGAGGAGAGGAGCCATTTTGAACTCACTTCAAAGTTTAAGGTGGAAAAGTTGGAGCGCTCCCGCACGCTGCCCGCGGACGGGGCCGGGGCTCCCGCGGAGCGCGGGGCGCAGAGGGGCCGGGGCGGCGGCTGATGGCTGCGGGCGGGCGGGCGGCCCGGCGGGTGGATGGATTGTGCGGCAGCGCGCAGCCCGCGGTCGCTGCCTCCTGAGCCCCGGAGATGCCGCGGCTGTCCGCCGCCGCCGCCGCCTGCGTGTCCTGGGCCGCGCTGCTCTGCGCCCTGGCTCACGCGGGCGGCGCGGAGCCTCGGCCGCCCCGCGCCGCCCCGCTCCTCCACCTGCCCCCGGGGGCCGCGCCGCGCCGCGGAGCCGCCGAGCCGCCGGCGCTGCCGCCCACTGGGCGCCTGAGGGCGGCGGGGCCCGCGCCGCGCCGCGCTCCGCCCGCGGAGCCCCGCGGGCCCCGGTGCGGAGGGGTGAACCCGCGGCGCGCCCGGCGGCGGGCGGCCCCCGAGCACCGCGGAGCTGACTGTGCTCTGGCGGACGGGGACGGGCGGAGGGCGGCGCGGCGGGCGCGGAGCCCCAACAGTCCTCCGCAGTTCCAGCTGCCCAGCTACCAGGTGTCCATCCCCGAGAACGAGCCGGCCGGCACGGCGGTGATCACGCTGCGCGCGCAGGACCCCGACGAGGGGGAAGCGGGCCGGCTGGCGTACTCCATGGAAGCGCTCTTCGACGAGCGCTCCAACGACTACTTCTCCATCGACCCCCAGACGGGCAGCGTGGTCACCGCCCGCAGCCTCGACAGGGAGACGAAGGACACCCACGTGCTGAAGGTGACCGCCTCCGACCACGGCTCCCCGCGCCGCCGCTCGGCCACCACCTACCTGACGGTGACGGTCAGCGACACCAACGACCACGAGCCGGTGTTCGAGCAGCCCGAGTACCGGGAGAGCATCCGCGAGAACCTGGAGGTGGGCTACGAGGTGCTGACCATCCGCGCCACTGATGGCGACGCCCCGGCCAACGCCAACATGCTTTACCGCCTGCTGGAGCCGGGCGCTGGCGACGGGGTCTTCGAGATCGACCCACGGTCGGGGGTCGTGAGGACCCGCGCCCCGGTGGACCGCGAGGAGGTCTCCGAGTATCACCTGGTGGTGGAAGCCAATGATCAGGGCAAGGATCCTGGGCCACGCAGTGCCACGGCCATGGTGCACATCACCGTTGAGGACGAGAATGACAACTACCCTCAGTTCAGTGAGAAGCGCTACCTGGTGCAGGTGCAGGAAGACGCCCCAGTGAACAGCCAGATCCTGCAGGTGCAGGCCACAGATCGGGACCGGGGCAGCAATGCTCAGGTGCACTACAGCATCGTGAGTGGCAACCTGAAAGGTCAGTTCTACATCCACTCCTTCTCCGGTGCCATTGATCTGATCAACCCTCTCGATTATGAGACTATTCGGGAGTACACGCTGCGCATCAAAGCCCAGGATGGGGGCAGACCTCCCTTAATCAACTCCAGCGGCATGGTGTCGGTGCAGGTTGTGGACGTCAATGACAATGCCCCCATCTTCGTCAGCACTCCCTTTCAGGCCACGGTGCTGGAGAACGTTCCTCTGGGCTACTCAGTGCTGCATGTCCAGGCTGTGGATGCTGACTCTGGGGAGAACGCACGCCTGGAATACAAGCTTATTGAGATGGCACCACCGGCCGGCGTTGCCCCTGCATTGGGGGACTCCGGGTTTCCCTTTCAAATCAACAACAGCACAGGGTGGATCACAGTGGCTGCAGAGTTGGACAGAGAAACTGTGGAGAACTATCACTTCGGGGTGGAGGCCAGGGACCATGGTGTGCCAGTGATGACCTCCTCGGCCAGCGTGTCCATCACTGTCTTGGACGTGAATGACAACAACCCCACCTTCACAGAGAAGGTCTATCACCTCCGGCTGAATGAGGATGCAGCAGTGGGCAGCAGTGTCCTCACCCTGACCGCTGTGGACAGGGACGTGAACAGTGTAGTGACCTACCAGATCACCAGCGGCAACACCAGGAACCGCTTTGCCATCACCAGCCAGAGCGGAGGGGGACTGATCACACTGGCCTTGCCTCTGGATTACAAGCAGGAGAGGCAGTACGTGCTCACTGTCACTGCCTCTGATGGCACTCGCTTTGACACCGTCCAGGTCTTCATCAACGTCACAGATGCCAACACGCACCGCCCAGTCTTCCAGAGCTCCCATTACACGGTGAGCGTCAGTGAGGACAAGCCCATTGGCACCTCTATTGTCACCATCAGTGCCACCGATGAAGACACAGGAGAGAATGCTAGAATCACTTACATTTTGGATGACAACATCCCTCAGTTCCGCATTGACCCTGATACCGGCACCATCACCACCCTGATGGAGCTGGACTATGAGGATCAGGCGTCCTACACATTGGCCATCACAGCCCATGACAATGGCATCCCACAGAAATCAGACACCACCTACGTGGAGATCCTCATCCTGGATGCCAATGATAATGCGCCCCGCTTCCTCCGTGACCGCTACCAGGGATCAGTTTTTGAGGACGTGCCGCTCTCCACCAGCGTCCTGCAGCTTTCTGCCACCGACCGCGACTCAGGCCTCAATGGCCGCCTGCTCTATACATTCCAAGGTGGAGATGATGGAGATGGAGACTTCTATATCGAGCCCACCTCCGGAGTGATACGCACGCTGCGCAAGCTGGACCGTGAAAACGTGGCCGTCTACAGCCTGCGAGCCTTTGCAGTAGACAGGGGCAGCCCACCCCTGAAGGCCTCTGTGGACATCCAGGTGACTGTGCTGGACATCAACGACAATCCCCCTGTCTTTGAGAAGGATGAGTTTGACATCTTCGTGGAGGAAAACAGCCCTGTGGGCTCCATTGTGGCCCGAATCAGTGCAGCTGACCCTGACGAAGGAACCAATGCGCAGATCATGTACCAGATAGTGGAGGGCAACATCCCTGAGGTCTTCCAACTGGATTTGTTGAATGGGGACCTCACTGCCCTGATGGACCTGGATTACGAGAGCCGCACGGAGTATGTGATTGTGGTGCAGGCCACCTCGGCCCCACTGGTGAGCCGGGCTACTGTGCACATCCGCCTGTTGGATCAGAACGACAACCCACCTGTCCTACAGGACTTCCAGATCCTCTTCAACAACTATGTAACCAACAAATCCAACAGCTTCCCCTCCGGTGTGATTGGCAAGATCCCTGCTCATGACCCTGATGTGTCAGACAGCCTGGCCTATACCTTTGTGCAAGGCAATGAGTTAAACTTGCTCCTCTTGGACTCTGCCACTGGGGAACTCAAGCTCAGCCGAGACCTGGACAACAACCGGCCCTTGGAAGCCCTCATGAAAGTGTCGGTCTCAGGTAAGCAAGCACTGGAGGTGTGTGAAATGTGCAGATCTTCTTTTCGGGCTGACGTGGTGGCATGGGCAGAATAGCTGCTTACGGCTTAGCGTGCAGCCTTCAGTTTCCAGAGGCAGCAATTTATGAAGTTCTTGGAAAGGAACCACAAAAATGGATCTGATCCACGTGCTGTGGATTGAAGTGATGCATTGAAGTTGTTTGGTAGATGTGGATCATGAGAGTAAATAAACGTGTGGGGGTATAGATTTCCTTTGTTTAAGTGATGCTTTGGCTCAAGCTTTTCTGATGTGGTTGCATCAAGGCAATAAATGATCTAACCTGCGAAGACGTAGGGAATGTGCACGTACCTGTGATGCTTGGGGTTAAGCTTACTGTTGGTGATATGTGATGGCTTTGCGGATCCATCTTCCCTTGCTCTTTTTTCCTCTTTTGTTAAAAAATAGTGGCCAGGTAGCACTCAAAGTAGTACTGAGTGATCCTTTGCTGTGGGGGGAGAGGAATGGGGAAGGACAGATGCTGTAACCTCCTTCCTTGGAGAGCTGGTGCGTGATGGGGAGGGCTCTGCCTCTTCTGTTGAGCAGACTGTCCCTTATTGTTCAATATGTACTTTTATGTGAGTGTGTATACACTCTTGGGATAAATGTTTTTTTTTCTGCTTGGTCAGTTGTTTATCATGGAATTACTTTTTATGCCTTTAATTGTGGCATCAATCATGCAATGAGTAATTTCCTCCGCAGGTGCCACTCTATAAAGTTTACTGTGGACCTGATCCCACACTTCTGTTGACTTTCGAAGGTTATAACCAGACACATTCCTCGCTGCCTCTCTGTGCAACTCTGAAGCTAGTATTTGAATTTATTTTTTTCCCTTTTTTACATAAAATAGCTGAAAGTATGAGATACATAGGAACGTAGGACATGCTTCTTTTTTGGGGGGTGGGGGAGGGCGGGATTGTATTAAAAAAATACCAAACTATGGCATAATCCTGGCAGTGCTCATTACTGTAAGTAGTCATTAAGTGCTGCAGGGCCTCGGGGGACTCTGTTGTGCTTGCGGGCTTGAGTTCCTTTTTGCTTCAGGAAAATGAAAGTGATATTAACTGCACTGATTGAATTTACTGCAGTGCGTCACCTGACAGGAGACTTCTATTGCAAAATGCTGGGGGGCAGCTCACGCAGTATGTTAGCTCATAAATGCCATTTCCACGTCCTGTGAGGACTTGTAGAAAAAAACAGGCAATTGGCTTGTGGCCTTAAAGAAACATTTGGATCAGCGTGGTGGTGATTGCGTGGTCATCGTCTGTCTGAAGCAGTGGCTCTTTATCTATCAGCAGCTGATAAGAACTGACTTGGAGCAAAAAGCTTGGAGCAGCCGTTTGGTCAGACCAGATGAGAGAGAAATAGCTCACGGGGACCATTGCTCAGGCTGAGGAAATGTCAGGCAGAGAAACGAAGGACTGGAGTCCTCTGTTAAGCAATGGGAGCTCTACTCTGTATTCACGTTGGGTGAGGATGTGAACTTTGCATCTCTGCTGTGATGTTGATCAGAACTGTCTGCTGCACATCCTGAGATGTATTTAAATACAAGAGCTTCTTATGGGTAGGGGTTTGACGTAATTTTGACAAGTGCTGAACTCCCTTTGGTGTTTGTTCTGAGCAGTTTGCTGTTCGGGAACTGGGAGGGCAGAGTCCTGACATTTGTGATTGTTTCCAGTAAACTTTCACCTGCTTGCTTTCCTGCTTATCTGATGTGGTCTCAAAACAAAACAAAAAAAAAAAAAGAAAAAAAAAGACAGAAGAGCTCAGACAGAAGCCCTCCACCTGGTTATCTCCAAGCATTGCAAAATACCTGCAAATCATCTGCTAGGATAAGCTGCCAGTTAACTGAAAAATGTGTCTATGGAGCAGCCATTAACCTCTCAACCCAGACAGACACAAAGTCCTGCCCGGCTCACAGCTGCTGCTCCGGTCAGGGCAGAATGCGAGCTCTTTATGAACTTGGGGAATGTGATCTATATAGGGGTCGGAAGTACTGCGCTGCTGTAAAAGCCTGGCTGCCACTCAGCACTGCCTTTTGCCGTTGGGGTGAGCATGTGGAGCTGGGGAGCTGCTGAACTCTGTCACCTGTGGGACTTTGAGACTTTGCTAAAACCCATGTCCTTTTATTTGCATTGGGAATTGTTTGGAGAAGCGTGGGAATTCTGTCCTTCTGCACATAAACAAAACTCGGGGAATCATGAAGAGCAAGCAGACTGAGATAACTGGTTTCACAAAGCCTGAGAATGGGACGGCTCTTCACACTTTACCTAAAGAGAAGGAACACCCTCAGAGCTGTGGGGGGGCTGTGGGCAGCCCGCAGGAGTCTGTGCGTGCGGCTCTGCCCAGTGCTGTGGGACCTGCTTGGCTGTGCCCTGCAGCTGTCAGGAGGAGAGCGGGGAGGAACGGGGCTGGTGGGGCCCGTGGGCGGGCAGGCATTAGCATCTTGGAGCTGGAGAGCAGCTTTTGAAGTCAGCCTCTTTTGAAGTGAATCTCTCAGGGTGCCCCTGCGCCGTGCCCACAGAGTGAGCAAACAGGCCCTGCTGCAGGAAGCTAAGCCAGGTGTGCTCCTGGGGTGCCCCAGGTGCTCCCAGGCTTTGGCTGCAGTGTCTCATAGTGATGCGTCTCTCAGAGTCCCTCATTTTAGCTACTCTTTGCCCTGAAAGCTGGTACTTTTGCTGCAGGTGTGGTGTCGCGTAGGAGGAAGCGTTGTTCTTTTCCCGGACACCTTCAAGGCTTTCCTGTGGGAAGGCAGAGCTTGGCCCTGTGTACCCATGCCCGCTGTTTTAACAACTGGGGCCATGCTGCAATCCTGCCCTTACTTTCCAGGAGTCCATTTTACTCCGGGCTCAAATATGAGGTGCCAGTTGGCAGCCAGCCAAACATGAGCCAGCAGTGTACTCAGGTGGCCCAAAATGCCAACGGCATCCTGGCTTGTATCAGAAATAGCGCAGCCAGCAGGAGCAGGGAGGTGATCGTCCCTCTGTGCTCAGCTCTGGTGAGGCCACACCTCAAGTGCTGTGTTCAGTTTGGGCTCCCACTGCACAAAAGACATGGAGGCCCTGGAGTGTGTCCAGAGAAGGGCAGTGGAGCTTGTGAGGAGCGTAGGTCTGATGGGGAGCAGCTGAGGGAACTGGGATGGGTCAGTCTGGAGAAGAGGAGGCTCAAGGGAGGCCTTATTGCTCTCTGTAACTGCCTGAAAGGAGGTTGTGGTGAGGTAAAGATTGGCCTCTGCTCCCAGATAGCAGTGATAGAGCGGGAGGAAATGGCCTCAAGTTGCACCAGGGGAGGTTCAGGTTGGATATTAGGAACAATTTCTTCTCAGCAGGAGCAGTGAGGCACTGGCACAGGCTGCCCAGTGGGGTGATGGAGTCATTGCCCCAGAAGTATTGAAGAAACGTATGGATGTGGTAGGGAGGAATGTCATTAGTGAGCATGGTGGGGGCAGGCTGATGGTTGGACTGGATGAGCTCAGAGGTCTTTTCCAACCTTAATGGTTCTTTGATTCTGTGAATTGGTCGTCTGTGATTTCATACTGTTGTTAAATACGCATTTTAAATGGATAGGATTATTTAAAATGGTAGCTTTTCATCCACAGTTTACAATAATGCCAAATTTATTCTGGATCCTTCGTGATTTTTCTGATTTAAAAAGAGATTGGACAGTTGCTCCCGCCCCAAGATGTTGTCATATGCAGTCCCTGTGTGCCCTGGAGGAAGGATGGGTGCTGGCCTCAGCTGTGCACAGGTGCTGCATGAGGTCACCTGTGTATGACACTGCAAACTGCCTGCACCCGTTGGGCCCGGAGCGTGTGCTACAAATGTAAAGTAATGCTATGTAACAGTCATTTTGGGAAGGCAGTGCTCTGGCTCTGTGCTTTGCTTTAGGCTGGTTTCCCTAGTGAGAGGTAGGCACGCTAAAGCGTTCCTTTACATTCCTTTGACTTTAAACCTCCACTGGCATTCAGTGAGGTATTGACTATCAGCAAATACAAATCGGGATAGAGCTCCTTCATGTTGCAATAAACATTTGCTGTTTTTAACTTTAGCACTTGTTAAAGGATCTTTATTATTATTGTAATTTAAAAGCCATTACGCTAAAGCTCCTGAGTCTCCAGCTCCATGCTTCTCCATACAAATGGAAGAGGTGACATTACACTTAGTTTAACCCTTAGGACAAACGCAAGGCCATGGCTGTGCCTAAGGTAGAGCACTGGGGAGTTGTGCGTGTGCACTGGGGGACAGGGACACTCAAGTTCCCCCCGCACCCCAAAACACTGCAGCCCCCTGGTATGGGCTGGGAGCATCACAGTGCAAACTGTCTTCTTGCCCCCGTGCTTAGGGGGCTGTGCCTTCACCACCTGTGGCATGTGGGGCTGCTGAGGCCATTCTGGGGGTCCAGTACGTAGAGCAAGGAGATGCTTCTGGTGAGACTGCAGGAACAGCACTGCTTTCAGGTACTGGGGAGAAGGGATTGGCACCCAAACCGCTCTCTGCATCCTCCCCTTGCCACCGGGGAGGTAAATTCCTGCAGCCTTAAATAAGCCATACAATTACAGGATTATAGGAATGAAAGGATGTTCTCTCCTCCCTCCCCGTGCCTTCCCCGTGGGTGAGGTGCAGGTTTCCTCCTGAGCCTATTTCCTGACAAAATGGGGATTTTGCTGTTCCCTGCACTGTGTTCTGTGTGCGCACCCAGCACGGGAGCAGCAGCAGGGAGGGAGCAGCAGCAGGGAGGGAGCAGCAAGGGACCTCGTTGGGAACACCGGGTGTGAGACCTGGCCATCACTTTGTGTATTAAATGGGAACTAATGATTAGCAGCCTCTATGCTGTGCTTTTGAACGCTTACCTTTGTTTTCGTGAATCAGTGACTGCTAAGTAGTGGCCATCCTTTTGAAGTGAGGAGAGCTCCCATGCTGCTGTTGCTACTGAAATCCCTCCTTATCTAAAATGCAGCTCAGTTTC